TTAAGTGCATGTATCTTTTTTTTTATTTTTTCTCTTCTTTTGTGTGTGGACAGGGAAGTTTTCTCTTCAATCTCAAATTCTTTACCTGATATGAGAGTATTTTTGCCCCTGTTTCCTTTTGTTTTTGAAGTAGGGGTAAAAGCCTCTGTTCCGCTGCGTGTGATGGCATCGATGTACGCACTATAATAGTCTTTCACAACGACTCATGATTTACAGCCCACTTGTATCATTAGTGAATTTTTTTGTAAAGCTCTTCGAAACTTTTCACTTTCCAAGTAGAGGAAAAACTACCCTCAACAAAAGCAAGTAGCTTTAGGCAAGCACTGAACTCTAAAAATCGAATCTCAACAGTCTTTGCACGAGAACTCGGCAAATTTCAGAGTGGAAAGAAATAAGCGAGAAGTCTGTCCTCGATCCGGCTGCGGTACCTAATCTAGCGAATTCTGCTTCCTGTTCTTATCGACCCCCCCCCCCCTTTTTTTTCCATTGAACTTTGAGGTCGCCTGTCGTGATTTCGAGCACCAATAATGTTAAGGGGGAAATCGAATGTTGAGTAAAATTGCTGGTTCCTGTGACCTTTATTCTTTTTCTTTCTCTTTGCTTTGTGGCGGTCAGAGCAAGCGTCTAGATACTGTGCTTGAATAATGATGGGACTTTGTTTTTCTCACAACTGTTTCCATCGTTCTTACTGTGCCGCTAAGATTTGTTTCAAGTATAGCACATCGATACTGTAATAGAAACGGGTGTCTTCACAATGTAATATATATGGCGTGTTTTATGTTATGTGACATGATATGAAGCGACGTGACTTTCCCGCCTTTAATCAGGACAAAAGTCTGTTTACTTTTTTAAAAATACAACCAACTATTACGGTGGAAATCATCAAAAAAGATATTAAATGCAACATGTTATTTAACAGTGAATGATGCGAGACATGCCAATATCGTATGAACATAACTGCATAAAAAATTATGTGAACATCTGAACCACAAACTGTATTTGAAAAACATTCCAATTCAATAACTCCAAGAATCAGCAGTAATTGTAGAGGATTCACGAGTCACAACGGGCGGAAAGGGAAAGTGGGGGATGGCATCTGTGAATTACTGGGAGATGCGAAGCATGCTTGTATTTATATACATGTCTTGAAGACACTTTTAAGATCCGGGTGCATGATCCGCGCTGGTTTAATGGAAGAGCTATATAAATCATTACGTCGCACATGTATGGGTTGTTGCTGGAGATGTTATGTACGAGTTTATTGTGGTATATAAGTAAAGATCCATTTTCTGTGTTGATGAAGAACACGGTTATGTCTACAATCCTGAACATGTCGACGGGACGAGCCTTGAAGACGTTGCGCTTTATTCCCGGATATCATGATGTTTCCCGGGATAACTGGTTGTTAAATCCCTTTTGTCTCGGATTTCGTTACCCCGAGCAGCGAATATAGAATTACCTTTGTTCTTGCCACATCTCACTGGTGTCTTTCATTATTAATGTCGCTGTCTGCAGTGCTGTCATCGTTTTTTCTTCATCATCAATATACGCAGTTGACAATATAATATATAATATTATATATACACTGGGAAGTTATGACTTGTTGACGTAATGAAACAGTTAATATGTCAGCATGACTCTATAGGCGTCTGGGGAACAATGGTGACTTTTTGGCCTTTCAGAAATGCCTTCTCTTTGTGCACTACGTAAGAACTGTTGGTTTCTCAGGTTTTGTGAGGGGCATGATGACCAAAGTGACAATCGTTGCCAGAATAGTCAGTAAAAAGAAAATGTAAAAGAGGAACCTGTCAATAACCCTCGCCGCCTCCTCCCACTGTTTGTTCAAGTCATCTTCCTCTTCCCTCTCGCTTTCCCGAACGAGAAGTTTCTTGAGAAGGGACAAAATCAAATCAATGTCGTCCTCTTTGATCCTCTCACCGCTCCGACTTCTCACAGACGCCGGAGCCTGCTGATGTCGAACCGAGGACGGAAGTCGCAGATTCTCGAGATTCACCCCAAGTGTGTCTCCCAGTTCGTATTCGACGAGCGCGCAACCAGAGTCGTTGGACACGTGAGTCCCGTTGCCAACGCGGTAAAAATTCCTTCTGTTCCTGGCGGGGGACAGGACACGTCCGCCTGTTTTGTTAGGTGGCGAGATGTAGTACAGCTTGGTGCACATAATACGTGCGAGGCCGACAATAAAATAACGCATCAGCCGTGGAAGAGGAATCTGATGCTGGCCTTTGTAGCTGATGTTGGACACAAGAACCGCAAGCATGACAGACATCGAGGTGATGCCCATGACCGACGTCAGGTACATACCTGCGGGCAGACAGATCAAATGAACATTTTAGTATAGGAATTGAGAAGAAACTGTCCAAGGTGACCACTCATTGTCGAAAAGAAAAGCGCTCATCTTAGACAGACGATCCTCTTGGACAGTGTCATTATTGAGTCACTATAATGCGTGTATAGAAGAAACGCAACTACCGAAGTGGGAGGTTATCGTTTTATATTTTAAATTTTATTGTTTTGGACAGGTTTGTTGCTTCTTTATGAATTAAGTTGTCAAATGCCTTACCTCTATGGTACACAAGTATACAGTATAGGTTCATGCAAAACAGCGAGTCTGCCTTTCTCTTGTAATGAGTTACAGACATGATATACCTAGTTTTTGGTATACCTAACGAAAGTTGACGTTTGGGCTTTTAAATTTTTATTAGCCGATAGTCGTCATCAACTACGGTAGGTGTGTTCTCTCACTTCGCAGGAAAGCTTTTCCCTCCCAAAATGGGAGTCACAAATGCTTAATAGTCCATCTAACAACAACAAGTAGGCTGGCCATTGAAAGCATGTTAACGCCTTAAGAATTATCTAAAACAATGATTTTTTAAATTAACTATTTAGAATTGTTTTCGAAAAAAACCAACTTGGCAATTTTAAAATCTGGACCAGTTGATAATGGTAATGGACAGGTTCAAACTTAAGAAGACAAGTAGGCAAGTAGTTTCTCAAAGATTTCTCCCTTACGTACCTCCAACTCACCATGTTTATTTGAGCAAAAAGAAGCACATCAGCTCAATTATAATAGTCATTTAGTGCTGAAAACTGAAATGCAGAAGCTAAGAGAGAAAGCCCCACGCTGCGAACTGTGTGAAAATAAAAGTAGTCAAAATGCTCAAAATGTGTCAGAATTGATAACATTGGCAATAGTAGAGACCAGAAGTCATTATATTATCTTAACCCTCATTTCTTCTCTTTCGCTTAAGAAATATTCTGCTCTGTAGAAGTATTTGTCATCGTCAGACGGACGAACTATTATTGAGAAAGATAAGGACAGAAAGACTGGAAGAACAGACGTAAAAGAAACGGTGTAGGACCTTCCCATAGCGCCTTCCAACCACCCGCCCAACTCACCAATGAGAGGAACAAAGTTCGAAGTCGCGGGCATGTTCTCAGCTATCAGCAACATGAAGACTGAAAACGCAAGCAGCACAGTAAGCCCGAGAGTGACTTTCTCTCCTGAGTCTGGACTCATCCAAAACACGAGGAGCGTGAGTGAGGACAGCATTACACAAGGGATGATGACGTTGTACGTATAGTACAGCGTGCGACGCTGCAGGTGGATTGTGAAGATCACGTCAGGAAAGGGCTCTGGGCAGCACGGATAGTAAACCACGTTTCTCTTGGCTGTCACGCTAACCAAGTGCCACTCGCCTGTAAGGAGAGGAAGGAGTTGGTTTGTCTTTTAGTTTTGTTTGCTTTGTTTTGTTTTGCTTTGTGGTCTGTTTGTTGTTTTTTTAATTTAAACATTCTTTAGTTTTGTTCTACAGCTAAAGATATTTCTAGTAGCTCATGATATCCAT